TGGCGCTCAATATAAATACCGCGGCCACGTTGTCCACTTTCTTCGCAACGTTGGTAGGCTATTTGAAGAGCTCCCAGTCCTACCTGAAGAGCTAGATATCGTACTCCTGCGGCCTCCTAATATGGAGGGCGACCCTCGCTTCCAGCAGCAGTTTGCTCGCGATTTCCGGGTACGCCGCTCATGCCTGTTGATTTGGCTGCATTACTTACAGCGCCACCACCCGGGCTATCGCGATATCGTTGTGAGGCAGGATCGCTTGCAACGGCTTCCTCTTGACGGCAGCATAGTTGCTTCCATTGCATGCCAAGTGGCTGACATACCTGACGGCGAGGTCCCCCAAGGCCCGGTTGAGGAGGCTGTAGAAGAGGATCCTAGCGATGCAGACGCATCGGCGATCCCGAATTTGCAGGTTACCGATACCGAATTAAACGCCCTGCAGTCCCGATTCCTTCATGGTACCCCTGGCCCTGAGCGTATGGCTGATCTTGAGCATATGCCGCCTAGCGCGCAGGCTCAGCACCAGATGCCACTGCCTTCCATTCGCAGAACTCCTATGAATGAATTCAACCGTTCCCAGCCACTGTTAACGCTCGCGTTCCCTACTCTCTACCCTGACGGCAAGGCGGACTTCGTGGAGCCTCGCCTACGGAGCATCACGTACCAGGACTACCTTGCCCATGCGATGAGATGGCAAGACGGACGTTTTGCCCGCCATAAGACGTGGCCCTTCGTCGCCCTCAACACGCTGTTACGTGCGCAGGTCCGAAAGCGAAGCAACTACTTCGTCAAGCAACACGAAGGCCGCCGTCAAGCCCTTACACGCGCTGACCTAGAGGAAGCGATGGCTGAGCCTGACGAGCCAGAGGCTCAGGCTCTGATCCAGTCGATCACGCGCCAAGCCGCTGTAATTAGGGGCACCCGTCCATATTGGTATAAGCAAAGGAAGGAATTGGAGGCATATGCCTACAATCTAGGCAGGCCTGGCCTTTTCGTTACCGCAAGTGCGGCTGATTACCACTGGGAGTCCCTATATCGTCATATGCCTCGATTCCAAGAGTGGAAAGCAGCTCCTGAGGCGGCGCGGATGGCTCTGTCCCGGCAATTACTGCGAGACAACGCCCACATTGCCGCTTATCACTTCCATAAGCGTTATACGCTCTTTAGGACTATTGTCCTGAAGCAGAAGTTTAACCTAACGGACTTTTGGGGTCGCTACGAGTGGCAGGGCAGGGGTTCCAGTCACCACCATGGCCTATATTGGCTAAGTGGTCACCCAGACCTAGATCCTGATAATGGTCAGTCCCGAGAGCGATTTGCCCGAATCTGGGGATATCACGTATCTGCTGTTAACCCAGAGCCTCAGAGGATACAGGCGCCTGGGGAAGGGAATCCCCTGATCAGTAATCTATTGGAGCATCCCCTTACCGTTCAGTTCCTATCAATGGAAGTCAACTGCGTGCAACGCCATCGCTGCAACAACTACTGTATGCAGCTCAATAAGCATACCAAGCAGGTAGAGTGCCGCTTTGGATTTCCTCACGAGCAGCGCCTCCTAGCCTCCCTTGACAAGGTTCCTCATTCTAAGCACTGGAGCTTCAGGGGCGAGCGCAACGATGGCCAGGTCAATCACTACAACCGCTTGCTTACCGTTGCGTGGCTAGCCAATACAGATGTCTCGCCCTGCACGAGCCTGCAGCAGGTGATCGATTACGCAGCCAAATACTGCTCCAAGTCGGAAAAGAAGAGCGAGTCTTTTGCCCAGATTGGGAAGGCCCTGATGCCCCGGGTCAAGGACCACAACCCCCTGATTTCCTTCACGTCAAAGCTCCTAAATCAGCTAGTTGCTGAGCGAGACTACTCGAAGCAGGAGGTTAGCCACTTGCTCCTCGGCCTGCCGTTACAAGAGGGCTCACGAACCTGCCTATACGTTGATTGCCGTAATCCTGACAGGCATTCCCGCTCCCTACGGATCGACGGCGATGAGGTTGACGAGGCCCCCAACGTCTATGAAAAGTACTGTCGACGCCCAGAGACCCTAGAGGACCTGACCTACGTTTCCTTTCTCAAATACTGGAATTTCCTCTCTAGGAACCCTTCCATGTGGAAGCAATGGCAGCCAAGCAATGTTAACGGCAGGCCTCGTGTATTGGTCTACTTTCCTCGCTATCATGCTGATCCAGAAGGTCAACAGTGGCCAGATTACTGCCGTGTAAAGCTAACATTGAACCACCCACATCGCCGGCTTGATGAGCTCCTCACATTTGACGGCCAGCGTTTTAGTTCTCACGCCAAGGCCTTCTCCTATTGTTGGCAGCACCACAGTCATGGTGATGACCATTACGGCCGGCCAAAAGAGGCTCGATTACAACCTCAAGAGGATCAGTACGAGACTCTGCCTGTGGAGGAGGAATTTGATGACGAAGACTGGATCCGCCTCGCCGCCCTTTTACCCGACAACCCCCTTACCCAGGAAGGTCTTGACCTACTTGGCCGCCGCGATATCGACGTTAATTACGACTGGACACAGCATGTAGGTACTTATCCGGAACTTCGAGACGGCTACTGGAAAGAACTTATCGCCAGCCACCCTATAGCCAACGATGTGGAGGTCCTTGGCCCTCACTGGCGTGATCAGCTGAACCCACAACAACGGCTCGTGTACGACACCTTCATGGGCCACTTCCAGGCGCAAAATCCTACTCAAATCCTTCTCCACGTTGACGGTGGTGGTGGTACAGGCAAGTCCTTCCTTATCAAGGTGCTTTCCTCCCATCTTCAGGCAGCTGCCCTACCGAATCCTAGCCCTATTTGCCGCGTAGCGCCAACAGGCGTTGCGAGTAACCAGATACAGGGCAGCACCATTCATTCGTTGCTACGCCTCCCAGTAGGTGGTGCTTTTACCGACCTTCCTCCAACCGACGCAGCCGCCCTTCAGTCTCGCCTACAGCACGTCAAATACCTCGTTATCGATGAAAAGAGCATGCTAGGGCTTGAGCAACTCGCGCGGATCGATTCCCGCCTGCGGCAGGCCTTTCCACAGCGTAGCCTCGAGTTCTTTGGTGGTGTGAGCGTCTTGCTTGTGGGTGATTTCTTCCAGTTACCACCAGTCCGGCAAAAGCCCCTGTATTCGACTAGCACCAGCCTGTCTTCGTTGGAAAGGAGAGGACAGGTGGCCTACCGGTTATTTGACCGCACCATCTTCCTGACCACGGTACAGCGCCAGGCTGGCAATGATCAGGCCCAGTTCCGTCAGGCATTGCAGGAACTGCGTGAAGTTAAGTTATCTATACCGTCATGGAACCTCCTTAGTAATCGGGTACAGGCCAAGCTAACACAGAGCGAGATTGACAGCTTCAGGGCCGCTTTGCGGGTGTATTCTACAAAGGCCCGGGTCAACGAGTACAATTACGAGCATATGGTGCACCTCAACGACCCGGCAGTACAGGTGGAGGCAAAGAATCGGGGCAACGGCGCAGGGCAGGCGCCAAGTGACAACGCTGGCAACCTATCTAACAGGTTCCCTGTTGCTAAAGGCGCCAGAGTGATGCTTACGACTAACCTATGGCAGCCAGCTGGCCTAGTTAACGGTGCCCAGGGTACTGTATACGACATCGCCTGGAACGCAGGCACCAACCCATGGGAAGAACCCCCGGCGGTTATTATGGCGGATTTCGATAGCTACGACGGGCCGCCGTATCTAACAACGAACGAGGGCAGGAAAATCTTACCCATCCTCCCAGTCACGCGTGATTTCCTAGTGGGCAACGAGACTTGCGCTCGCACGCAGTTTCCCCTGATCGTGGCGTTTGCTATCACTGTTCACAAATGCCAGAGCCTAACGAAGGATCAGATAGTTACTGACCTCGCTACACGCGACTTCCAGGCCGGTATTAGTTATGTTGCTGTCTCACGAGTTACCGCGCTGCAAGGCCTACTCCTTGAGGCGCCTTTCGATCGTCAGAGCCTCTATAACCACACGCCCACGGAAGGTTTATACGCCTGCGTTTCCTACGTACTGCGTTTGTGGCTAACTATAAGGCAGGGATGAAGATGCGCCTTGCTGACCAACAACGCCGTCAGGCTCAACAGCTGGCCGATCCGCCGTATCCACCACGCTACATTGACTAAATGACGTTTTCCTATAAGATACGGGGAACGGGGAAATTCCATAACCGGTATATAGTTGATTGGGCCTGTCAGGAAGCGGTAGAGGGACCCCTATGACTATCAGTCAATTCCCTTACTACAGGTTTGAAGTGGTTTTAACAGCTGGTTACCGCCGCAGTCGAAAGGGGGATCTAGGCAGTTCCCCCAGGAGAGTTTAATAGCAGGTATACGGTATTTACCATTCGGGCTGGATATTCAGCCGTTAAGTCCCTTGCCTTGGCAACTTAACGGGTGTTCGAAGTATTTTAAATCAAGTTGTGTCATATTCTCCGTCGGGATGCTGAGACGGGAGCGGTTGAGGAGCGCATTTCCCAACACAGGACGAAGGCCCGACGGACTTTTCTATCGAAAGGGACGGCCCTCCTTTTTTTCCTCTTCCCGTTCGTGGGGTTTCGAAGGCTACTGCGCAATGATCCCAGCAGAGCTGCAAAGCAACCACAGCAGCGAGATGAAGAGCCGGACATCGTACATGGGCCCGCGTCTCCTAGCTGCATCCAGGGGCATAAGTATCAGTCGTGGTGCCACCGTCTGTGAGGAGACGTCAGTGTGCCGTCACCTCCTTCGCCTATTTGCTGCTTTCGCATCAACTGATGGCATCAATTGGCTCGACAAGAACTTTGGGCTAAGTGTACCGGCGATTGAAGTCTTGCTTCTGCTGGCTGACGCCTTTTCCGTGACCGCAAATCAGCTAGGATGCAAGGTAGGTACCGCATAACGTCCAGAGAGGAGGAAGCACTCTCTAGGCACACCCTAGCTAAAGTTATATCTTGCAGAGAGATTCTGGCGTCACTGGCTCCTTGGAACTCCCAGGCTTTGGCTTACCACTTGCCCATATGCCAGCTAAGCAAGATCGCTTCCCTATTTTGATCGGAGACCCGGAACAAGATTGGGCCGCTGCTACACTCCTCATCCGAGAGGTCTGCATGCTGAAGCTGGTTGAAGAGATCACAAACAAATCCGAATGGTGGAAAAAGATTCGAGAGCCCAACATCGCCGCGAAGTGGAAGAAGGAGGCACTCGAGATTGACTGGGCTAGCTACGTACGCCATGGTGACTTCACGCTTGCTATGGCGGACTGTGTGAGTACATACATGAACCGCACAACCAATTCTTTGTTGTCGGGACGCTTGTCCGTCCTGGACGCTGCGGCACCCCCGAAACCACATTTCAGGTCCGCTAACATTATGTGATTCAGTGTATCAACGAAATTCGCATAAAGGCTGATATCTACGAGCAGACCGGCCTTGTTCCTGTGCTTGATTATTCGGCCTGCATTATTAAGTCGGACAAACTCATCACAGAGGAACTCCGACACGAACTTATCGCGGCGGTTGAAGCTCTTGAAAACGTCCCAGAAGAAGAGAAGGACTGGCATCCTGGAAGCAACAAACAGGTTCTCAACCTAGTTCATCCTTCCCTTTGTCCCCTTGTCTATGGGCGCTCTCGGATCCTGTTGGATAAGCGTATTGGTGTCCAGGACTGCCTTGATTACTGCGGTCTTGGCCAAGTCATTCCGATACCAGATTGCTCTGAGCTCATCAAAGAGACCACTAGAGGACCTCGAACGAATGCGGTGCGTATCTGGGGCTTGCATCTGCCACCACCAGACCGCAGTGTGCCATTCCTTTCCCCAAAGTTTCAATGGTTGCCCTGTGACGTCGTTCTCGATAACGACGGTGGCGTCAAGATTGACAGCTATATCAATAACCTGCATCCGATCAAACACGCTCAACTGTATCCCCTTATTGAGCGCTTTATTGCGAAGGCTCTGCCAGCGTGGGATCTAGTGTATCGTTGGCCGACGGAGTTTCGTGTTCAACGCCTCTCAACAGACGATGCTCAATACGTATGCAAAGCTTAAGACATCTGTACAAGCTCCGATTGGGGCTGTTCTCAATCGAATCGACCACTCGGTGATGGCGAGCCTCCACGCCTCCAGGATGAAGAAGACAATCCGGACTATGAGGGATCTGAGCGTGCAGAGCTTGATAGTGCCTGGTTTCACAAAACTCATCCCGTTCCTGTTCCAGAGCCGGATGAAGCATCAGCGGCGCACGGTCGTAGCAGATCCAGTTCTCGATATTACAGACTCCCTGCTAGCAGCACATTTAATCTCTCCGCAAGCCACATTAAGGAAAGGGGATTTTTCAATGGCGCTTCTCGCATTCAGGTTATTGTCAAACTCGCTAATATTCACTTAACGCCAGAGAAACCTTATTATCGTGGCGGTTCATGGCACGTGGAGGGCCAACTGAACGAACATATTTGCGCCACTGCCCTATTCTACTACGACAATGATAATATTACGGAATCTCGACTTGCTTTCCGTACGTCCGCCAACGCTGAAGACTTACGTATGGGGCTGCGGTACGACCAAAATGACTACTATTCTATCGAGCGCACATTCGCTATTCGCCCCCGGACCCCCGATGACAATATTCAGGAGATAGGGTCTATTTTTACACGCGAATGTCGGGCTATCTTTTTCCCAAACCTATACCAACACCGTGTCCACCCCTTCCGCCTCGCCGACCGCTCCCGCCCATGTCATCGAAAGATCCTTGCCCTCTTCCTAGTCGATCCATCAATCCCTATCATCTCTACAGCTAACGTCCCTCCTCAACAAAGGCACTGGTGGCTCGGCGAACAGCACATTATGAGCAGTTCACTACCTCGAGAGCTAAACGAGATGATTCTCAGCAATGTCGATTTCCCAATTGATGAGACTGAGGCCAAAAGCCTCCGCGATGAACTAATGGCCGAACGGACCGCACTGCAGGAGGATTCGGACGGTAAGCTAAGAGAGGTGGGATGGAATTTCTGCGAACATTAACGGAAGGTTGCATAACTGTTTGCCAAGGATCTCAGCTCGTCAATGACTCAAAACCCCTCACTTCTTGTGGACGATAGTGTGACGGGACAAGAGCTCTTTATTTGACGATCGCCACTTTTCCCTCAGCTTGTCCATCTCTTTCTTCAGTGTGGCGCGGTGCGCTCGTAGCTCGCGGCGGTGACTCTTCTCTGCCTCTTCCTCGAGGGTTTTCTGGTGTTGTTTCCGTATCTCGGCAAAGCTGGAGCTGGTGCGAAAGAGGCCACCGGGTTTGACGGTCTTTCCGCGGCGACAAATTCGTGACAATTTATCGATGCGTTGCGTGCGGCTGATGCAGAAGGCGTCGCTTTGTTTATTGAGGACTGCGGCTTCTGTGAGAACTGATCAGACTTGCGGAAGGGCAGCACGGGTGGGCGAACTCAACACCTCACTGTATTTAGAAGATATATGTTGCATAATGTCAGAGGCGCCTTGGAACCGGGTTGCCCTTGGAAGAAGTGACTCGAAGGCAGGGTTCACGGCCTCGCGCTGCTTTCTCTGTGCTAACACCATCTTTGTGATCACCGGCACGCTGTTCGGCGGGAAGAGACCGGTTTTCTCGAACCCTGACATGATGTTACGTACGCTGACGCCGGCATCGAAGATCTTTTGGAAGGCAGAGACGAAATCGAGGCGGGTGAAGGCGAGGTTGCCCTCTCGAAGTGTTGAAATGAGAAGATTCAAGTTGCTTTATTCATCCTAAATGAACAGTAGGAGAACTGCTATTTATGTACAGGCACGATCTCTGTGGAATGTTCCACCTTCTTCCACACCTTGCCACCGACTTGGTCGCCTCACATTTGTGATCTCCAACACGAAGGGACTGCCGAAGTGCGGCTTGGTGTGCATTTTTCAACGGCTGAAATACTCCAACATCCATCGGCTGCATGATATGTGTTGAATGCGGTGGCAGCATGACGATCAGGGTATCAAATTGAATACAGTATTCGATGAAGTGGAAGGATGTGTGCCCTGTGAAGCCGTCGATAACTAGAAGCCGCCATATCTTCTCATCTTTAGAATGATGATTCGGAGGCTCTGTAACCCTCAGCCCACGGATGCCGTTAACACACATCCATTCATCACATCCAAACCAGTCATTTAGAGTGACTTCGAGCCTCGAAGCTTTTGCTGACTTCGTCCAGGAAACCCGGTTAAATTCGTGAAGCCAGTCCTAGCTGACCTCGGCGTTGCTGAACGCGGTGTCTGACTGTACGAAGCGCATGTTCTCATCAGCCTCGATGGAGGCAAAATTCTCTGAATGAAACGTCTTGAATATAAGCCAGGGAGGAATAGAATCTCCCAATGCATTTCCTGCGCCGATGAGGGTGCAAGATTCACGGTTGGCGGGATCTAGGACTTCAGGACGGTGGTACGCGTTGTACGCGTTGTACAGACTATGATGACTTGAATAGTCTCTCGAAGACAGCCAATTCGGATGCCGGCTTCGTCCTCGTTCCACATTTCTGAGGCGCCAATTCTGTGGGTTTTGATGAGGTCTTTGAGGTTATCATAGAATGTGGCGATGTCAGTGATATCAGAGGATTCGAATGACTTCCGGGACTTCTCGACCGCCTTCAGGAACGTCGTTCGGAGCTCTGGGTGGTCTGCACGAAACCGGGCATACCATGCCTTCGATAGAGGACTCAATTCCGGGTCCCTTTCTTGCCGGAGGGCATTCGCAGCTTCCTCAACGTGGACCTTGGAGGCGGGGAAGCCGGCGCGTTCCATCCATACAATATATGCTGCAATTGCTGCGTCTTCTGCGTCCGACAACGAGCGTGGACGACCCTGCGGCCGGGATGTATCGAAAGAGCCGCTTTCCAACTTCTTCAATTACCTATGTATTTCACTCGTACTGATGTTATAAACGCGTGAGGCGGCGCGAAGAGATAGAGGCGTTTCAGCAGCCCGAATGCGCGCGTGGTGGCCTCTGTTGGCAAGTATCGCCCTAGCGGCTTTTTTTTTTGGCTTGGATCTGCTTAGCGGTATCGGGAAAAATCATGATGATCCAATTTGGCATGTATTTGACCAAGTGTTGTCGATGAAATGTGTGATTTTACGTATTCAAAGGGTTGAGAATTGCGACGCGTTCCAATTTTTTGTGGCGGTTCCAAGATTTTGTGCCCTACGGCGGGGAGCGCCTAGGTAGTAGTAGTAGTAGTAGTAGATTTATTACGCCCGGGAGAACGGATCTCATAGGGCCATGGAATACGCTATGCTATTTACATTTCTGCCACCTTCAATCCTGACCACAAGTAAAGCCCCACTTTCTCTCCCTGGATCGCTTTCGCTTGGCCTCGCTTGACTCTCTCTGACAGGCCTGCTTGAAGGCCAATTTCTCCAAGTGTTCAGCATCCTATCCTCAGCAGCTGAAGCGTGGTCTGTCAAAATGAGGCTGTATTGTGTTAGTATTGTGCCACTGTTTCCTGGTTCCGGCTGTTAGTATGTCCCATTCTCCTACTTCACTCCCAACCTTCCTGTCTTCATCGCAAATTTGATCGTTGCTCCCACCGCCTGTAGGTTAGGTGACCACTTCGGTCCGTCCGATGCCGACTTTCCTCCCAGAAAGAATGAGAGGTTTCCCATCTCGCTTTGTCCGATTCGCCGCATGCCTTCGCGTTGTGCATCCCACTTGCTGCAGCGAAAGAGAAAATGTTCCATCGTCTCGACTGCCCTTCCACAGTCGCACAAGTCTGATTCCACTGCACCGATCCTCGACAGGTAGCTGTTAATCCTCGCCATTCCCGTGCGCAACTGCGAAAGCGTATCTGCTTCGCGTCTCTTCAGTCCGCCGTATAAAACCTTTGTGTGTATGCCTGGTAGCGCTTTGTCAACCCTCTTGGAGAAGCCGCCCACTCTGTCCGGTAGTGTCTGGTGCTGTTGTAGCTGCTTTCTCGCTAGTCTTATCCGCGTCGATCGGGCTTGGTACGGCTGTGTCTCTGGCATGCGCCCCGATTCAGTTGCTCTCTGCGCCTGTCTCTTCGCCTTAGGCCCCAAGGGGAACGCATCATCCCGAGAGGGTACCCAAATCATCTTGACCCTGTTGTTGCCTTTTCTTAGCCGTCGGATGTGGTTGTAGATTTCTCGGATGGCGCACTGTCCCGATTGTTGTCGTGGTCGCGCGATCGCCTTCAGTGCTGACTGGCCGCTTGACAGTATGGTAAGCCTTCGGTCCCGTAATCCGTCAGGCATGCATCGCAATGCCATCGCTATCGCCCCTAGCTCGGCTGTGTAGGGGTTCTGGTCGTCTCGCGAGCCGAGAGTGACCGAGCACCTGGCCATGACCCTATTCTCTTGCCCTGCTGCTTTGTGGCTGATGATGCCTCCCATGCCCGTCATTCCTCCTCTGTCGGAAGCGCTGGTCGCGATGGTGATGTCTTCGACACTGTTGGCTGCCGCTATCGCCACCTTCCGATCTGCCTCACACACCAGCGACACGCGGGCGTGCCATGGTGGTGCTGCATAGGCTTCGATTGTTTCCATCCGCCCGATTCCGCTCTCGCCGAGGGCAAGCGCCAGTCTCTTCATCGGCGAGATGTACCTTCGACTCACTGATACTTTGAGTGTCGCTAGCGGGTGCTTCTTTGGCAGCGTGTGCATATTGATGTACAACTTCATTCCAGCCAGAGCATGTCGCTCGTGTACTGTTTGGATGTTGGCTTCTGCTTCAGCTACTGCCCTCGCCACCGTCTGGAAGGCTCCCGTGATGGCCCGCGCTCCTATTTTTTGTGCCCTGTTGAACTCTTTCAATTCCCTTTCGCCGCGCGCATGCGCCCATACGACAGACGCGTAGTCCATGGCTGGGGCAACGGTTGCGACGAAGAGTTGTCTGGCAGCTTGTGGTGGCAGCATCCTGAGTCTTCTTAGACACATGGCTGCCGAGAGACCTTTAGTGGCGGCCTTGGCCATGTGTTCCTTGAACCTGAGCTCCGTGTCCATGGCCACGCCCAGGAGCTTGGCCTTCGCCTTCGGCTTGACTTCCTCACCATTGATCATGAATGGCATCTCGCTGGTACGTTCAGGTACGCGCGTGAAGTGGACAATTGTTGTCTTTTCATGTTCAAATGTCGCTCCACTACGCCTCCCCCACGCCAGTGCCCGGTCGATGATGGCTTGTATGTCGTCCCTGTTCGCCTCCGCCGTCGGTCCCGTGACCCAGGCTGAGTAGTTATCGACAAAGGCTATCGAACCGCCTTTGGAGTCAATCTTGCTTTGCACAAGGTCTGCGTTGAAGAATAGGAAAAGCACAGGCGAAAGCGGCGATCCTTGGGGAAGGCCGGCTTGCGGCAGCTCCCGTTGCTCTGACGTGTAGTCGTTCACCACGATGCTGGCCGTGCGCTTTGAGCAGAACGCGCTTATCCATTGCACCAGCTTCTTGGGGATGCCTCTTGCTTCCAGCCTCTGTAGCAGTCTGTCCTTGAATACGCCGTTGTACGCGCCCTTGATGTCGAAGCTGACTAGGCTGACCACCCTGCGGTTCCGCCACGCTTTGTACACATGTTCTTGGAAGAGCAGCAAGGCCTGCTCTGCCGACCGCCGCTTCCTTGCCCCAAAGTGGTTTGTGGGCAGGAGCCCAAACGTCTCGGCGACGTACGAGATCCTGTCCGCCACCACTGCTTCGAGCACTTTGCCCAGCGTCGACAACAGCGAGATCGGTCTCCATGCCTTTGCGACCGCGTAGTCGGCCTTGTCCGGCTTCTTGAGCGGGATGATCTTGGCGCTCCTCCACTGGTCTGGTAGCTGTCCTTCATTCAGTGAGGTGCGGAACAGATGCATCACGCGTTCTTTGACCACCGGCCACAGTTGCTTCCACACCATCGCCGGCAGGCCGTCTTCCCCGGGTGCTTTCCACGCTTTGGCTGCCATGACTTTCTCCTCCACCTCCTCCAACGTCAAATCCGGCATGGCCACTTCTCTCCGCCGCGGTCGTGGACCTTCGTCTTCGATGGTTGCTGGTAGCGGCGGGAAGAATGTCGTCAGCAGTACTTCTGCCTGTTCCGCCTTGTCCTGCGTTGTCGTCCCGTCCGCCCTTTTCAGCCGGGGGATTTTGTCGCCGACCATGTCGCCACCGGGTTTGAGGTATTTGGCCGCTTGCCAGATATTGGCCCTGTCTGCGAGGAAGTCGTCCCAGTGGGCCTTCTTCTGTCTTCTGATGGTGTCG